GATTTGAGATTGTACAGAGCAGAGTGGAGCACAACAGACTGAACAGCATTTCTAATCATTCAGCTGCAATTAAAGGGAAATAAATACTGCTCAGTTAGGCTTCATACCCAATTACTTGCTTAGAGACTCTCTCCTGTTTGGCCAAGAGTAACCACAGGTAATAAATCTGAATTATTAAAGAGTTCTTAATTTGGCAGTTGCACACAGTAGCACAGGTGAGTGACTGTGGAGATAGCAGAGCAGGAATTGGGCAGGAATTCCTCCGTGGCAGGCCCTGGCACAGAGGCCCAGAGCGGCTGTGGCTGCCCCTGGAGCCCTGGCAGTGCCAGGCTGGGGACAGTGTCCCATGGACAGGGATTTCAGGTCCTTTTGAGCCCAATCCACTCTGGGTTGCACACTGCACAAAATGCAATAAAAACCATCATGGACCACAGAGAGAAAATTCATCCCAATGTTTTGATACTTGAGAGGAAAAGAATTTCCTCGTGAGAGTGAAGAACTTGGCAATGTGGTGACAGCAGCACTCGAGCTGGGGCCTGGCCTGGGAACAAGCAGGAGTGAGCTGGGTGTCAGTGACAGGAGCAGTGAGGCTGTTCCTGTCAGGGTGTCAGTGACAGGAGCAGTGAGGCTGTTCCTGTCAGGGTGTCAGTGACAGGGGCAGTGAGGCTGTTCCTGTCTGGGTGTCAGTGACAGGGGCAGTGAGGCTGTTCCTGTCAGGGTGTCAGTGACAGGGGCAGTGAGGCTGTTCCTGTCTGGGTGTCAGTGACAGGGGCAGTGAGGCTGTTCCTGTCTGGGTGTCAGTGACAGGGGCAGTGAGGCTGTTCCTGTCTGGGTGTCAGTGACAGGGGCAGTGAGGCTGTTCCTGTCAGGGTGTCAGTGACAGGAGCAGTGAGGCTGTTCCTGTCTGGGTGTCAGTGACAGGGGCAGTGAGGCTGTTCCTGTCTGGGTGTCAGTGACAGGGGCAGTGAGGCTGTTCCTGTCAGGGTGTCAGTGACAGGAACACTGAGTTTCCCCCAGCCTGGCTCCATTCCTTCCCCTGCAGCCCCAATCCCCCAGCAGATCCCGGCCTGGGGCAGCAGCTCTGGTGCATTTCCTGCAGATCCCGGCCCAGGGCTGCAGCTCCAGTGCATCTCCTGCAGATCCCGGCCCGGGGCTGCAGCTCCAGTGCATTTCCTGCAGATCCCGGCCCGGGGCTGCAGCTCCAGTGCATTTCCTGCAGCTCTCGGCCCAGGGCTGCAGCTCCAGTGCATTTCCTGCAGTGTCTCCCTGCCGAGCTGCTCTGAGCCGGGACAAGGACACTCTGCCAGTGCCGGAGGACAGACTCAAAGCCAGGACAAGGATCCCCAAGCGGGAAGGAGCCAGCCCCGTCCTGCCCCGGCCCATCCCGGTGCACGCTGCGTTAACCCTTGCGGTGCCGGGCGCCGGGGCAGCCTCAGCGGCTGCAGGGAGCCCGAGGCAGCCTGTGCTGAGCGTGCTGCTGATTAAAATGCTGCAGATGAGCTCCTGGAGCTGCTAAAGCAGTTGTTTTGTGCAGCACTGGGCACAATGCAGCCTCCGTTCCTCATGCCTCCTTTTCATTGTGTGTCAGATTGATTAAAATGCAGTTGTGCTGAAATATTATTTTTATTTTTATGAACATTGAGTATTCTTCCTTTATAATTCCTCAACAGGTACAATTTGAAGCATCTCCTTAGAAAAGGAGGTTGAATGTATGGGATTTGGAGTGAATTTGAGCCAGAAATGCAGCAGTGGTCGGCCAGATAAATCAACACATTATGGAATGGGCTGGGTTAAATCCCCCCTGCCATGGCAGGGACACCTCCCACTGTCCCAATGTCCAGCCCCAATGTCCAGCCTGGCCTTGGGCACTGCCAGGGATCCAGGGGCAGCCACAGCTGCTCTGGCAATTCCAGCCCAGCCAGCAATTCCCAATTCCCAATCTCCCATCCATCCCTGCCCTCTGGCACTGGGAGCCATTCCCTGGCTCCTGTCCCTCCATCCCTTGTCCCCAGTCCCTCTCCAGCTCTCCTGGAGCCCCTTCAGGCCCTGCAAGGGGAAACTCCTGGAAGAGTCAGGGCACTGGGGTGCTCCCTGCTCCAGGATTTCCCTGGGGTGAGCACGAGCAGCTGCAGCTCCCGAAGGTTTGGTGCCAGCCCTGGCCGAGCCCTGGCTTGGGGTGGGGGGTCGGGTCCAGCTCTGCCCAAATCCCCCAAAGAGCTGCCCCAGTGACTGAGGCAGGGTTGAAACGGGAGCAGCCCCCGGGGCAGGGCAGCTGCAGAATCCCGGTGGGAATATCACATCACACTGCCAGGACTGAGAGTCAGCAAGAGTCTCTCATTCCAGGAGCTCAGCATCGCATTTTCTGCTCTCTGGGCAGGTAATGGATATTCCACAGCTAATCACAGAAGGATGGCACTCTTTAAATGTGATTTCCATTGAAAGTAATACATCCACTCGTGCAATTACCCTTCCCCATAAAAAATGCTCTGTGACAGAGGAGAGAGCTCAGAGCTCCAGCCAGGGCATTCCCACAAGGAGGGAAAACCCCAGCAGAACCCCCCTCATGGCGATGGGGCTGAGGGGCCAGGGCAGCTTTCACCATTTATCAAAGTCCATCTTGGATGAGGCACAGGGATGATTTCCAGGGATTTCCTGCAATGGAGACTGTTCATTCCAGTGACAGCCACAGGCACGGCCCCAGTGAGCAGCAGGATCTCTGCAGAATTTCCCATTTCCACGGCAAAGCCATCGAGTGTCAGAACCAGCCAGACTGGAAGTGACCTCAGTGTGCAGCTGAACATCAACCCTGCCCCCAGAATCCCCCCAGAGCCACATTCCCAAGCACCCCCAGGCTGGAATTCCTCCCTTCTGACCTGTCTGCTTGTGGCTCACAGGGACAGGACACATCTGTGCCGTGAGCATCGCTGCCGTGAGGTTTGTGCAGAGCTAAGGAGGGGAAGTTATCAGTTACCAGTTATCAGTTACCAGTTATCAGTTATCAGTTACCAGTTATCAGTTATTGGTTATCAGTTATCAGTTATCAGTTACCAGTTATCAGTTATCAGTTATCAGTTATCAGTTATCAGTTACCAGTTATCAGTTATCAGTTACCAGTTATCAGTTATCAGTTATCAGTTATCAGTTACCAGTTATCAGTTATCAGTTACCAGTTATCAGTTACCAGTTATCAGTTATCAGTTACCAGTTATCAGTTATTGGTTATCAGTTATCAGTTATCAGTTACCAGTAACCAGTTATCACTTATCAGCTATCAATTATCAGTTATATCAGTTATATATATATGTATATATATATATATATCAGAAGCCCAGGTGGATCCCAATGGGGCTTGGTCCTGCCTGAGGGGACACGGGGGTGACCCCACCCGAACGAGCCAGCCTGGGCTGGTCTCCAGGTCTCTGGGCACAGCCGGCTTTGCCGGAGGCAGCAGGAGGAGGGAGGGCTGGAATGGGGGCAGGAGCACCATGGAATGGGGGCAGGAGCACCATGGAATGGGGGCAGGAGCACCATGGATTGGGGTCAGGAGCACCATGGATTGGGGGCAGGAGCACCATGGATTGGGGGCAGGAGCACCATGGAATGGGGTCAGGAGCACCATGGAATGGGTTAAATTGCCTGGGAAATGAGCCCTGCCCAGCTCTGGGAGCCAGGCCTGGCTTGGGCTGAGTTTGAGCCCTGCTAGCCCAGGTCCTGCTTCACCAGAGCCTGGCTGCTGCCAGCCCAGCATCCATGAACTCCCTGCATCCTTTACGGGCACAGACCGAGGAAAACACGCTGCCTGCTCGTGCTGGGCAGGATTTCAGACTTGTCAGTCTTCAGTCACCGAATTTTGGGGCTTCTGGCGTCACTGCAGTCAATCCCTGCCGCGTGGCAGCTGCACAGAGCTCCTCAACACCCCCAGAACGGAGCAGAGCAGCCACCACGACCAGCAAAGCCCTGGAAAAGTCCTGATGGATTCAGCTCAGCCAGTGGGGTGAGTTAAACATCAGGATGGGTCACAAAACACTGGAGTGAATGAAGCTAATCCTGAAGGCTGGGAAGGAGCAGAGTTTCCCTGCAGTGCAGCCCCGGGCTGTCCCTGCTGAGAAAGGCTCTGTCCTACGGCAGGAAAAGGGAACAAAGCTCGGGAAATCAGGGCATGTGTTTAAAGGCAGGTCTGTACGGGGCTGTGGTTTCCCCAGGAGGGGAACAGAGTCCCCACAGAAGATCCTGGAGCCTCGGATGGGCCCCTGAAGCTGCAGAACCTCCTGCGGGTGGAGGGAGCAAGGGAGAAAAGCCCCAGGTGAGAGAGGAGTGCCAAGAGCTGAGGGGCAAACACTGAGCAAACTGTCCCAGAAACGAACCTGGAAAGGAACAACTCAAAGCAGGGGGAACAATCCTAATGGAGAAACTGAGGAAAATCAAGAGGTTCTTTTCCTGTGTGATAATGGGGAAAAACAAACAAACAAACAAAACAACAGAAACAACAACAAAACCAAACCAAACCAACAAAACAAGCAAAAAACAACAGGAAAACAAACAATCAAACAGAAACAAACAAAAAACAAAAAACCAAACAAATCAGTGTTTCCCAAATACAAATATTCCTGTCCAAACCAGGAATATGACAGTTCTGGAGAGCAGGGAATGAAAACAGAGAATTGCTTGGAAGTCTGGAAACAATCCCTTGGCAGCAGTGGTTTGTAGTGCCTTGTTCTCATCCTGTATTATCCCGTGCCTCTCCTTGACTCTGGATCTTCCTGTGCTTCTCTGGAGGAGCTGGGCTCTCTGAAGGAGCCGGTGTTTCCCCTGCTGGGCTGGGCCTGGCATCTTGCAGCCCAATTCTTATATAATCCAGTTTAAATGGATTGTAAAAGGAAGCATAATTAGCTCGTTCTATCCATGTAAATAAAACGTCTCACTACACAGCTTCAGTGACAGCAGAGAAGTGAAACACTTGAAAATGCAAGGAAAAGATGACACAAAACCCCAAACACAAATCAGGAGAAAATTTGCTTTGTGTCAATCATGTTTTCCTGTAACAGAGTGAACTGCAGCTGGTCAGATTTAGGAAAATCCCTTTCACACTGTCACGCTGTTCCTCCTTGTCTCAGAGCAATGCTCCTGGCTCCTGGGAGAGCTTTCCAGGCTGCTCCTGTCCAGGTGTGCAGCTCGTTCCTGGGGGGAGCAGCAGCTCTCGGGCAGCTGCAGCCTGAGCAAAAGGAGAAAGGATTTATCCATCCAACAGCAGCTTCCAGGATTGGATGGGGTAAAACGTTTTCCATGCAGAGGGAGAAATAAACCCCTGCAGTGCATGAGCATCATTTGGGGTTTGGGGCTTTCCATGGGTTTTTCCTTTGGTTTTTGAGGGGGGACTCGAGGCTTGAGGGTTTTTTTGCTTTGTTGTTATTGGTGGTGGTGGTGTTTTGGGGAAGGGATAGGACTTTTTCTCTTTACTTCTTTAAATCAAACTTAGATGTAAATGCTAAAATTCTTTCAGCTTGATCAGAGCAGTGTCCACAGGAGGATGATCCAGAGCAGTTTCACAGTGCACAGCCATGGACAGACAGCAGCCTGTGCCATCCATCCCCTCTGGAGCGTGTCCAGCTCGTGCCCTGGCGGGAGGAGGGATGGTTTCTGTGGAGCAGGGACCGCTGTGTGTCTGGAATCACAGGCACAGAGTGACCTGCAGCCCTGAGCTCTGGCTGCAGCTGTCCCTGCTCCTGTCCCTGCTCGTGTCCCTGCTTGTGTCCCTGCTCCTGTCCCTGCTCCTGTCCCAGCTCCTGCTCCTGTCCCTGCTCCTGTCCCAGCTCCTGCTCCTGTCCCTGCTCCTGTCCCAGCTCCTGCTCCTGTCCCTGCTCCTGTCCCAGCTCCTGCTCCTGTCCCTGCTCCTGTCCCAGCTCCTGCTCCTGTCCCTGCTCCTGTCCCAGCTCCTGCTCCTGTCCCTGCTCCTGTCCCAGCTCCTGCTCCTGTCCCTGCTCCTGTCCCAGCTCCTGCTCCTGTCCCTGCTCCTGTCCCAGCTCCTGCTCCTGTCCCTGCTCCTGTCCCAGCTCCTGCTCCTGTCCCTGCTCCTGTCCCAGCTCCTGCTCCTGTCCCTGCTCCTGTCCCAGCTCCTGCTCCTGTCCCTGCTCCTGTCCCAGCTCCTGCTCCTGTCCCTGCTCCTGTCCCAGCTCCTGCTCCTGTCCCTGCTCCTGTCCCAGCTCCTGCTCCTGTCCCTGCTCCTGTCCCAGCTCCTGCTCCTGTCCCTGCTCCTGTCCCAGCTCCTGCTCCTGTCCCTGCTCCTGTCCCAGCTCCTGCTCCTGTCCCTGCTCCTGTCCCAGCTCCTGCTCCTGTCCCTGCTCCTGTCCCAGCTCCTGCTCCTGTCCCTGCTCCTGTCCCAGCTCCTGCTCCTGTCCCTGCTCCTGTCCCAGCTCCTGCTCCTGTCCCTGCTCCTGTCCCAGCTCCTGCTCCTGTCCCTGCTCCTGTCCCAGCTCCTGCTCCTGTCCCTGCTCCTGTCCCAGCTCCTGCTCCTGTCCCTGCTCCTGTCCCAGCTCCTGCTCCTGTCCCTGCTCCTGTCCCAGCTCCTGCTCCTGTCCCTGCTCCTGTCCCAGCTCCTGCTCCTGTCCCTGCTCCTGTCCCTGCTCGTGTCCCTGCCCCAGGACTGGCACCCGGGCTCTGCTGCTGCTGAGCACACACAAAGGTTCCTGGGATCAAAGTTATCTTTGCTGCTGGGGTTAAACTCCTTTAACTCTTGCAGCCAGAGGCTGATAAATTACATTTTAATAGTTCCTGTAATGTATTTTTTAGACTGAATGTGGAGGAGTGTGAGAGTGGGGAGGGGCTGGGCTGGAATTGCCAGAGCAGCTGTGGCTGCCCCTGGATCCCTGGCAGTGCCCAGGGCCAGGCTGGACATTGGGGCTGTGGGACAGGGGGAGGTGTCTCTGCACATCCAGGGGTGGGATGGGTGGGATTTGATCCCTTTTGATTTTATTTGGTCCCTTCCAACCCAAAGTGATCAGGGATTCTGGGATTCTAAGGTACATCTTGCAGATACTCTAAGTTTAACAATAATTCAGATTTTCCCTATTACCTTCCAACACAAAATTAACCCTTCTGCACCAGAAAAGCCATAAAGCCACAGCTGGCAGAGGAACTTCTGTGTGAGCCAGCAGGGGAGGCCAAATTGGATTTTGCAGCAGCCTTGGAGAGCCCGGGCAGGGAGCAGAGCTGGGGCTGCTCCCCACGGTGACAGCGCCCAGAGCTGCTCCATGAATCACCCCAGGTCCCCCCTGGGAACCCAGCCCTGATCCATCGGTGCTGAGCTGTGGCTGGGGGAGATCCCCCAGTGCTGAGCCAGGGCAGCCTCCCTGCAGGGACACTCCTGAGGGACCCCAAACCAGTGACCCCGTTCTGGGGAATTCATCCCAGTGTCCCCATCCCAGTGTCCCCATCCCCGTGATCCCATCCCAGTGTCCCCATCCCAGTGTCCCCATCCCAGTGATCCCATCCCAGTGTCCCCATCCCAGTGACCCCATCCCAGTGTCCCCATCCCAGTGACCCCATCCCAGTGATCCCATCCCAGTGATCCCATCCCAGTGTCCCCAGCCCTGTGTCCCCATCCCAGTGTCCCCATCCCTGTGACCCCATCCCAGTGACCCCATCCCTGTGACCCCATCCCAGTGATCCCATCCCAGTGATCCCATCCCAGTGTCCCCATCCCTGTGACCCCATCCCAGTGACCCCATCCCAGTGACCCCATCCCAGTGACCCCATCCCAGTGATCCCATCCCAGTGTCCCCATCCCAGTGATCCCATCCCAGTGACCCCATCCCAGTGACCCCATCCCAGTGACCCCATCCCAGGGACCCCATCCCAGTGACCCCATCCCAGTGTCCCCATCCCAGTGATCCCGTCCCAGTGATCCCATCCCAGTGTCCCCACCCCAGGGACCCCATCCCAGTGTCCCCATCCCAGTGTCCCCATCCCTGTGACCCCATCCCAGTGTCCCCATCCCAGTGATCCCATCCCAGTGATCCCATCCCAGTGATCCCATCCCAGTGACCCCATCCCAGTGTCCCCATCCCAGTGATCCCATCCCAGTGATCCCATCCCAGTGACCCCATCCCAGTGTCCCCATCCCAGTGATCCCATCCCAGTGATCCCATCCCAGTGATCCCATCCCAGTGACCCCATCCCAGTGACCCCATCCCAGTGTCCCCATCCCCATGGCTGTTCCACTCAGGCTCCCAGTGGGGTTTCAGCCCCTGAGGCCCCCATTTGATTTCTGATTTATTCGGGTGATGCTCTTTGGTGTCACAGCTGGCCCAGGCAGCAGCAGCCAGCCCAAAGTGAATATTGACATTGCAAAAGTGGGAGCAGAAGCCTTGGAGCTTTCCTGGGTGGTGAAAATCCTTCCCAGGCCCTGCTGCTCTTCCCTCGCCTGGTCGATTTCTATAGGTAAAAAAAACAAACACCGAAACCAAACAAACCAATGCCTTGAAAATATTTCCGTTTCCAGAAGAGTTTGTTTTGGCAACTCTGACTTTACAAATTAGCGATTTGTTACAGTGTAGCGGGCTCCAGCCCTTCTGTGAAAATGGAACTTCAGGTGAGCTCAGCTCTTTCTTCTGCAGCTCCAAGAGAAACTCCACTGCCTGTGTGAGAAAGCTGAAATCACTAAAACCTACATTGGTAGTGCCTAAATGTCAGATTTTGTGTAGAACGTTGTAGTTAAAGTCCTGAAGGGAAACAGAAATACAGAAATTACTGAAAAAAATAAAAGCAGAAATAATGGATGTGCAGCCTCCACGTGGCCCGGTTCCAGCGTGGCCAGGCAGGAGCAGCTGGATGCAGGGATGAGGCTGGATGTGCCAATCCTGGCTGGATGTGCCAATCCTGGCTGGATGTGCCAATCCTGGCTGGATGTGCCAATCCTGGCTGGATGTGCCAGTCCTGGCTGGATGTGCCAATCCTGGCTGGATGTGCCAATCCAGGCTGGATGCAGGGATGAGGCTGGATGTGCCAGTCCTGGCTGGATGTGGCAATCCAGGCTGGATGTGCCAGTCCTGGCTGGATTGGGATCAGGATGAGGATCAGGATCGGGATGGGGATCGGGATCGGGATCGGGATGGGGGTCAGGATCGGGATGGGGGTCAGGATGGGGATCAGGATGGGGGTCAGGATGGGGGTCAGGATGGGGATCAGGATCGGGATCGGGATTGCTCTCAGCAATCAGAGCTTGCTGACGCGGTGAGGAACAGCCCCAGGGGATTTGGGGTCGCTTCTCAGCCCAAGGTGTGTCCCCTTATTATGGAAAACCAGTCCTGTGAGGGAGGAGACTCAGCCACAAAGGAGCCCTGCTAAAAACACCATGTGACCTTTTTATTGTGCTGAAACCGCCATGTAACCCTTTATTCTGCTAAAATCTCCATTTAACCCTTTTATTCTGCTGAAACCTCCACGTAACCCTTTTATTGTGCTAAAAAGGCCTCAGGTGGCCACTCGGGGCTCCCTCCTGCCCAGAGTGGAACCAGCTAGAGGCAATAAGAGCAGCCCTGAACCCCTTCCCCAGCTCTGCTGCCTTCCCTGGACAGGCTCCTGCCCCTCAGTGCCAGGTAAGAAGTTCTAGAAGGATCCAGAATTTCTGAAATCAGAACTTCTGCCACTTTAATTGCTGTGACTGAAAGGGTGCCACTGTGGGGGGGAAATGTGATGCCTGTGCTTGGGAAGGCTCCTGAAAGGATGGGAACAGCTTTGCCAAACTTCCCTGGGAACCCCTGGGAGTGAGAGGGACCAGCCCCTGGGACAGGCTGGGAGAAGGATGGGAGGATTCACACAGCAGCTTCTGACAGAGTTCTGGTGTTCAGTGCCTGGAAACTAAAGCAGGATATTTCCAGCCCAGATTTAAGGAAAAAAAGAATAATAAATACGGATCTTTGAAAATTTTTGATTTTAAAAAATTCTGTGTTTAAGGCAGGTTTGAATTTCTGTCCCTAAGCTCACTCAGTGCCTCTGTGCAGGAAGGTTTCAGATCACCATGGCTGGGGTAGGAGAACAGGAGGAGTTTTAGGGCCAGCCCTGACTCTGCTCTGCAGTCAGGGATGTTCAGTTCGTGTGTGAAACCCCCGAGTTCCTCTGACCAGAGGCAGGAGAGGTGTCCTTGGGCTGGATAAAACATTTCCTGCGGGCTGTGGCTGAGCTGACAGAGCTGCTGCCCCTGCTCCTGGTGCTAAATGAAATCATTCTTGTTGCAGACAAGAGGCTCCTCGTGCTGCTCTGTACAGCAGCGAGCAGGCAGCGCTCACCTGAGTGTTTGCTGATAGAAATGTTTGGTTTTTCTCGTTCTCCTGACTTTGAAATAGCTCTGTCTGTAGGCAGCATCAGTGTAGGATATGGCTCAGAGGCAAAAATAACTCTGGAGAGGCTTTGGAGGAGCCTTCAGGGAGCCAGAGCCAGTTTGGCCTTGATTGCAGCTGTAGAATGCTAATAAACAATTTTCTTAATAAAGAGACTGGTCCTGGAGTCATGTAATTACTGAGCTCACAGCGAGTGGAATGCCCTGACTGCCTTCATCTCCCATGTGAACCAGCCTCCCCAGCCAGCTCTGCCTCCTCTCCAGCCCAGCATGATGAGAAGTGTCACCTGCCCAGACTGGTCACGCCGTGCCCAGGAGCCCTGCTGCAAACCCAGCTTATGTAACCATGGAATTGGAATGTTAAAAATACCCCCGAAAACGAGACAGACGAGCTGACATATGCATCTGAGTCATTGTGTTCCTGGAACACGGCACAGAGGAGAGAGAGGCTTCTTGCTGAAATATAAAATAGCCCCACCGTACCCAGAGCGGGTTATTGGGGAGGCAAAGCAGCAGCACAGCTCTTTGGGTGTTATTTCATTCTCTTCCTGGCAGGGTGGGCAGGCCCTGGCACAGAATTCCCAGAGCAGAGCCCCTGGATCCCTGGCAGTGCCCCAGGCCAGGCTGGACACTGGGGCTGGACATTGGGACATGGGAGGTGTCCCTGCCATGGCAGGGTGGGATGGGATTTAATGTTCTTTCCATCCCACTTCTGGGGTTCTATTTTTTTCTCCTGTGCCTCTGGAGCCTGTAAGGTTGCGGTTCCTTTGAAGCTAACCACATTATTTGTCACCTTGTGGGTGCTGGCAGTGCCCCAGGGCTGTTCCCTGGCTCTCTGAGCAGTTCACAGAGCCTGTGGCTTCTGCGAGCCCAGAGCTGCTCAGGGGGCTCTGCCGCCCTTGCAGGTGGGAACAGCTCCAGACTCCCCATTTCCGAGGAGAGGAGATCCAGGCTGGAGAGGACACGGATTCCGAGCTCCAGAAGGAGCAGGGGATGAATGAGCTGGTGTTTTCTCTGAACCCCCTGCATGTCCTGCAGTGCGGTCCTGTCGTGTCTGTTTGTCCTGGGCACTCACCAGGGCTCACTGAGAGAGGCTTTGTGTGAGCTCCCCGTGCCTGCCCTGCCCTGCCTCAACTCCCAGCTCTGTTGCAGACCAAGGGCACCCTCAGAGGGACAATTTGTTTCTTTCTTTGTTTCTTTGTTT